AAATTGCATTGCTTTATGTGATCCACGTATTCTAGTATCTTCTTGTCGTGTTGTATGGACTATTCTAAACCTTGTTAAATTGTATTGAAAATGCAATTCATGTTGATCTATACTCAAGCATCCTTCTTGTCGTGTTCTGTGGATTATCCCAATCTTGATTCATTTCATATAAGTATGTATATTATGATTCTTATTGATTTATGCTCTAGGGTAGCTTAGGATGCTCCCTAAGTCTCACTTTAACATAAACGTTAAGTGGCATGAGCCCTTTGACATGTTTCACCTTAAGGTGATAAATTGTAAAACGCTAGGTCGATGCATGCTCATTTCCTACGAGTAGCTTTATGTTGCTCACCCCAAAGTTACTGGGGCATATTTCAGGTACGAAGACTTGGTTCGTGATGCTTAGCATTCCTTGGATGTCGTGTAGCTTTCAAGTTTCCATTTCATGCAGATGTTAGCATGAAATGTCATTTTGTAGACTTATATGTCAAACTTGTATTATTTGACTCCATAGATGTAATGTGTACATAAGTACACCCTTTGTATTGTATTTGACATGTATGAGATGAGGCCGGAGGCCAATGACATGTAATTTGTATCCCATGTATTTTTCGACTTCATGAAATTTTATGAAAATTCATGTGTTGTTATGTCAAAACTTTTGCATCGGGCGTGGGAATTCCATTCTGATTCTTTCATAGGGTCTTATTAATCATGTATGAAGTGTGGCCAAGGGCCAAACAGTCATTTGAGACCATTTCATAATTTTGATTTTCAATTTTCTCATTTTAAGTTAACTTTCGCCTTTTTAGCCGTTGGGGGGTCGGATTTTGACTCGGCCATTTTCGGGAGCCGCGGACCATTCCTGCGCACTCAAAATCATCATTTACGTTTGCGTGAATGATCGTTTCCATAAAAAAAAAAAAAAAAAAAAAAAAAAAAAAAAAAAAAAAATCCCTTTTGTTTGTGTTTTAAGCCTCCTATGGACTCATTTCACCTTTTTGTTGAAAAACTCGGCCCAAGGGCATTTTGGGGATTTCCTTTGGGAAATAAATTCTGTTCTCAACTCTGTCACATAGAAAATATGATTTTAAGGGGAGTTTCTTCACGACATTTTTTCGAAAAATGTCATCTTGATCTCGAAAATCGTGCTCCAAACTCATTTTTCTGCTAAAACACTGTTTCTGCTGCACTTTTAGTGTTCTGGTGCAGTTGAACCGGTTCAAGGTGTCATTTTGTTCAGCGTTGAGCATTCTACCAATGTTGAACTGGTTCAAGAAATGTTGAACCGGTTTAAGTATTCTAGAGATTTCAACTTTGGCCTTCCAACTTCAAACTAATGTAACTTCTTCGTTTCAACTCGGAATTGTTCCGTTCTTGAGTCTAAACTGACCGCGTCGAAGTAAGCTTTCCAATGGTACTAATTTCAACTTCAGATTATTTTCCTAGCTCAAGATATCCTCGTTTTAGTGAGAGGGTGTCGGATTTGGTTTGAACCAGGATAGGGTTCTTTTGAGATTTCTCTTCCTTTGGCCTTGGGACTTCATGTAAAGTTACCAAAGGTTATTTTTGAATATTTAATCTCATTTGACTTGTTGGAAGTCAAATTCCTTCCTCTTAGGGTAAAATGACCATTTTACCCTTGGTCCTTTCTTCGGTAGGGTTTTCATACCCTTGTCCTTGTTTTGCTTCCGTACTTTGTTCCTTCGGGTTCCGCGACCTCATGGAAGGTTATCAAAGGGTCTTAGAGGTGTGTTATGCCTTGGGAGACCATTGTCTTATTTCTTACTTTCGCATCTGGATCCGTTAATGGGTCAATCTTCGGTTCATCACTGTAGTACCGGGTTGAATCAAAAACCCGGGTCGTTACAATAGTGGTGGTGGAAGGCAGTGGAAGTGGCTGTGGTGGTGGAAGGCGGCGGCGGTGGTGGTAGTGGTGGCGGTGGCGATAGCAGAAGGCGGTGGTGGTGGTGAAAGGTGGTGGCGGTGGCGAAACGTGGTGGTGGTGATGGAAGGTGGTAGAAGGCAATAGTGGTGGTGGAAGGCGATGACGGCAGAATTGGTGGTTGTTGAAAGCGGTGGCGGTGGCAGTGGCAGTGGTGGTGGCGGAAGATGGTGGTGGTAGTGAAAGGCGGTAGCAGTGGTAATAGTGGAAGGTGGTGGCAGTGGTGAAAGGCGATGGTGGTGGAAGGTGGTGAAAGGCAATGGCAGTGGTGGTGGTGGAAGGTGGTGGCGGTAACGGTGGTGAAAGGCGACGGTGGTGGTTGCGGCAAATGGTGGCGGTAGCGGTGGTGAAAGGCGGTGGCAGTGCTGGAAAGTGGTAGGCTACAGTGAAAGTCAGTGGTGGTGGAAGGCAGTGGTAGTGGTGGTGGTGGTGAAAGGCGGAGATAATTGTGGTGGAAGGTAATGGTGGTTTTTGGACTTGGAATATGAGGGTGTTTTGGGAAGTCGATTTTTTATAATAAATAACTTGGGAATATAATGACCATTCCATATGTTTAGTTGTAGAATAGATTTTCATTTCCGAGAATGAATTTTCATTCTAATGGAATGGTTGGAATGGACATTATATTTTATTCTTGCACACCAAACGTAACATAAGAGAATTTTGTTGCTTATGCACGTTTTTTCCTGTCTCATTTGATCCTTCCTTCTTCTACTAGGAAAAGGCTTCCGCTTTGAGTGGACTCCTCTTGGGTCAATGGGCCCATTCCTTTTCAATAAACTGGGCCAGCAGTGATTGGTCTTCTCTTCGCATGGGCCGGGCCTATCTGGTGGTTCCTTACATGGGGTTTCAATACAAAATCCATTGACTCATAGTTTAATAGGATTTAAAATTCTACCATTAACTTTTAGAGTCAGATGGTAATTAAAACAATAATTAACTGATATTCTGATCCAATCGGGATCTTCTGACAGAAGAACTACAATTAATTCCCTTTTTATGTTTTATAGTTGTCGATTTGCAAGTTAATTGTTTGGACGCCTAAATTTTTTTGAAATAAAACTTACCATCCCAAAAATATCTTTAGGGCTCAACGGTCCCCTAATGGATCATTGTTTCCTTGTGTGCCGAGATATATATCAATGCAGGCAAAGTAACACGACTTTACGTTAGAATGGTAACGAAAGGTTTTGACCAGTGTGGCGAAGAGAATGAGATAGACACAGCCTTAAAATGATAGAAAAGATGCTTCTCACTTGATAATTGTGTTATGTTTGAAAGTACTGAATGGATATTTTATATTTGGGATTGAAATTTTTGCCAGAGTCCAAATATTGCTGTAATAAACACTTAACATGTATAGTTCCATCTATGATGTGTTAATTTTCAGACTTCTGCAAACTGAAGTATTACTTACATCAAAGACTTTTCAGAGTTCACACATGCATCAACTACAGGCATTTCGAACCTCTCCAAAATGAAGTCATTCCACTCTATTGGCATTGACCTTCATTTCAAGAATAAGTGACATTGGGTCATTGACTATCACCATCACACACACCTGTCAATGGAAAAATCACAGAGCAAACACACATAGTTTCAAGTGACGATCAATTTAGTAGCATCAGGAGTCCAGATCAATTGTTTGGACTCTTAAAGTGTATGAAATTAAATTATTATCCCAAACATAAATTGAGGGCTCAATGATGCTGTTTGCATTAAAATACTGTCAAAAGGAGATGACCAGCGCATGAGGAACCGGTTTATGAAGGGTGAAATACACACAATCTTACCGCCTTAAAACGGTGGAAAATATAGCTTCTTAATTGATAGTTCCTATGTTACGCGAATTCGTGTATGTGTCCACACATCGTGTCAAATTCTCATATGAAAATACACGTTCACTGCTAACCATTCATATTATTAAGTACTTTTATTTTATTTAATAGAGTAAAGTAAAGCTTTTATGTAACAATATTCAACATATGCAATTAACTAATTTTGAAGTAATAAAAAATTAAATTATTAGAAACAAATTTTTTTTAGGTATATGTCCATCCAAAAGTTTCATACACGCATCTCATACTTATTTTCGAGCAGTTTGTGTTTGATATAGTTCACATACTTTCCAACATAAATAATACTCCAAGTATCTTGCCAATGTCCAAAGTTTCAGCACTGAACAAGACTAGGAAAACAAACACAAGCTTTGAATTCCACATCGTTTGGTTGCCAAGAAAATGGAGAAAGACTTTAACATGTACAGCCTCCTTTAAATGTACTCTGCTCATTGATGGTTACAAGACCAAGTTACAATAAATCTTATGGAATAGAAAAAAATTCACTAGGGGAAAACTTTTCCAGGGGGTGTTTATGCATCAATTTTCGGACTTTGGCAAAAGCTATATTGAAGTATTACTTGCAAGTTGCGTCAAAGACTACTTTCCTGCTCTAGCCTAGAAGGTATAAGCTCTCCCTAGTCTAGTGTTCAAGTCCCAGTGGGAGCAAAATATGGGTGTGTGTTTGCTTTGACATTCAAAAAACAATACAAAAATAAAATTAAAAATTTGGGATTCCACTTTGTTGGCATGGGCAATCACTTTCACACACACACACACACACACAGATTTTGTGGTCACATTTCTTTTGAGGAGACCAAATAATGGTTATGGAAATCTATAAAGAATTTGGGATGAATTCCACAACTGAACAAAGAATAGTATTGTGTATTATGTGGAATTTCAAATCATTGATTTACAATTTGACAGAATCACACTCCCAATTCATTGCTATGGATGTTGAAGCATAAATTACGTTAAAGACTCCCCCTCTTACATCAATGAGGAAGCATTTCTAAACCATTCCAATATTGACTCTCACTTTCACACACTGCTGTCAATGAGGAAATCACAGAGCAACAGACAAAAAGACTACTAGGATACTCTAGTTATGTGGAACTGCTATAAATTTACAATTAAAAATTAAAATTCCAATTCAGTTCTAACTCCAAATTTAATCTCAACACCAAACAATATTTACTACTTTTACAGTCATGGGTGTAGTATTGTTATTGTTTCTAATATACTCATTTGTGACTTGCCTGGCTGTGTCTTCAACCAGCGTCACAGATGAGTATGCACTTCTACCAGAAGTTTGCGTCTTTTTGGACCTGTTGTATAGACAGAAGGATGTTGGCAGAGGTTGTGATGATCTTTTGTGGACCCCCTCTCTTCATGGTAGATACGAAGTTCAATCCATGTTCTTGTGTTTGTCTAATTTTATTGGACATAATTTCCCATGGAAGTCTATTTGGCGCTCCTATTAGAGTTGCCTTCTTTGTTTGGACTGCCACCTGGGGAAAAATTCTAACATTGGATAATCTGCGTAAGAGAGGTAATAGCATTGCTAACTGGTGCTGTCTCTGTAAAGCTGATGACGAGTCCGTGAACCATCTTCTTATGCATTGTCCTGTTGCATCTGATTGTTGGAATCTCATATTCAGTATTTTTGGCGTTCAGTGGGTAATGCCTAAGCACTCTTTCCAATTAATTAACGCTTGGAGAAGCTGCCCTGTTTCTGGTCATGCTCGTGATTTTTGGAGGGTCGCCCCACATTGTGTTTGGTGGTATATTTGGAGAGAGCGAAATAACAGAAAATTAAGGGAAGGAATCTTCTTTTGCAAACCTTAAGTCTCTTATTCTTCGTTCTCTTTTCTATTATGTTAGAGGCAGCACTTGCTCCTCGATTGATGATTTTTTTGTTCTATTGGACTCTGTTGGTCCGTAAGTTTGGCTTTTGCTCTTTCGTTTTTGTGTATTAGGGACACGTTCCCCTTTTGAACGTTTTTCTAATATATTTTAACTTATCCAAAAAAAAGAGTATGCACTTCTAGCCTTCAAAGCTCATATTACCTTTGATCCTAGTAATGTTCTGGCAACAAATTGGTCAAAAGGCACCTCCTTTTGCAATTGGGTTGGTGTTTCTTGCAGCCGTAGGCGCCAAAGAGTGACAGCCTTGAATCTTTCAAATATGGGTCTTAGAGGTACCATCCCCAAAGAAGTTGGCAACCTCTCATTCCTCAGTTTCTTTGATATCAGTGAGAACAGCTTTCGTGGCCATCTCCCTGGTGAACTAGGTCGTTTGCATCGACTAAAATCAATCAATTTTCGCGTCAATGAGTTTAGTGGTAAAATTCCAACAAGTTTCAGAATTCTAACCAAGCTTGAATACTTGCTTCTCTCTTACAACTATTTCACAGGATCTATCCCCCGAGAGATAGGATATCTTCCCAAGTTGAAGATATTATACATCAGTTATAATAACATTTCAGAATTCATTCCTTCCACCATCTTCAACATTTCTTCTTTGCAAAAGATTGCCCTCACTAACAATAAGCTGTCTGGTACTCTTCCAGTGGACATGTGCAAAAATCTCTCAAAGCTTGAAGGGCTATATCTTTCACAGAATCAGCTAGGTGGGAAGCTTCCTACTAGCTTACCCAAATGTACTGAAGTTCAAAATATATCACTGTCATACAATGAATTTACAGGACAGTTGCCTTGGGGAATCGGTAACTAATGATACTTATCTAAGCTTCGGTTTTTATATCTTGGTGATAACAGCCTGACTGGTATAATTTCACCTTCAGTTGGTAATTTTCCATTTTTATAGGATATAACAAAATAAACGTATCTTTCAATTTTGCAATCTCTAAGCTTCTTGTCTTCACTTTTCTTGCAGGTGAATTACCAGATACAATCTTCAACATCTGTTCACTTGTAGAATTTGATCTCTCCTACAACAAAATCTCTGGTGGTCTGCCTAAGGGTCTATGTCGCCAAAATCCGAGGCTTGAACTCATTTATCTTACCACAAACCAACTCACTGGCTATATCTCTTCTGGACTCTCCCATTGTAAGGCACTTAAAGAACTTGATCTATCATTTAATAATTTCACAGGAAGCATGCCAATTGACATTGGGAGCTTGTCTGCACTTCAAGTTTTATCTGTTGCTACAAATAACTTGAAAGGTGAAATTCCACTTTCAATTGCTTATATGTCCATGTTAGAGGAGATTGATTTGGGTTGGAACAATTTTCATGGTATCATTCCTTGGCAATTGGGGCAACTCTCAAATTTGATAATGTTAGTACTTTCTTTAAAAAAACTTATGGGTGAAATACCATTGTCACTCTTCAACATAAGTAGATTAGAAAGCATAGCCCTCGCAGATAATCAACTTTCAGGAAATCTTCCATCAAGTGTTAACCTTTGGCTTCCAAATCTTCGTACTCTATATCTTGGTGGCAACCAAGTCTCTGGAATAATTCCCAACTCAATCTCAAATGCCTCCCAACTAGTTGATATTGATCTGTCCAGTAACTTGTTCATAGGTAGCATTCCCACTACTCTCGGGAATTTAAGCCACCTCCAAGTTGTTGGTTTAGGATTGAATCAGTTGAAAAATGATCCATCGACACTAGAACTAAGTTTTCTCACTTCATTAACAAATTGCAGGCTTCTGAAATCACTGACCATAGAATTTAATCCTTTAAATGGTATTCTTCCAAAATCCATAGGAAATTTCTCCAGCTCTCTTGAAGAAATTACTGCAGGTGGCTGCCAACTAAAAGGTATAATTCCTAGAGAAATTGGAAATCTGAGCAACTTGATTCTATTGGCTCTAGGAGGTGATGACTTGTCACGGTCAATCCCGGTAACATTTGGACAGCTACTGAAACTCCAGATGTTGGAAACTGTTGGTACTAAATTGTAAGGCGCGATAACAAGCGGACTTTGTGATTTAACAAGCTTGAGTGAGTTAAGGTTGTATGGAAATAAAATTTCTAGATCAATCCCGAGATGCTTTGGGAACCTTACTTCGTTGAGAATACTCCTTTTAGATACCAATGCCTTAACTTCCGAAATTCCATCGACTTTGTGGAACCTTAAGGATATCATTGTCCTGGGATTGTCTTCTAATAGTCTAACTGGTTCTCTAGCTCCAGAAATTGGTAACTTGAAGCATGTTACGCGGTTGGATCTATCAAAGAATCAGTTCACAGGAAAAATTCCAAACACAATTGGGCAACTTCAGAGCCTGGCCAACTTCTCCATGTCAGAAAACAGACTACAGGGTCCTATACCCCAATCATTTTCTGATTTGATAAGTTTGGAACAATTAGATCTGTCACGGAACAATTTTTCTGGTGCAATCCCCAAGTCATTGGAGAAACTTTTGTATCTCAAGTATATAAATGTTTCTTTCAATAGACTAAGTGGAGAAATTCCAAGTGGAGTACCTTTTGCAAATTTCACGTATGAAGCTTTCGTGCATAATTATGCACTATGTGGAGCACCTCAATTCCATGTCAGAGCATGCAGAAGCCCCAAAAAATCACGGAAGACAGAAATTCTTCTAAAATATATTGTACCACCAATTGCCTCATTGATAATTGCTGTTGCTTTTCTGATTGGGTTGCTAAGATGCAAAAACAAAAGCAAGCTACTTCCATTCCAATGTGATTCACCACCTGGTGTAACACATAGAAGGGTATCACACCAAGAGATTCTTTATTCAACAAACTACTTGAGTGAAGACAATTTGATTGGTAAGGGAGGCCTTGGTTCGGTATACAAAGCGGTATTCGCTGATGGGATGGTTGCTGCTGTTAAGGTTTTCAATTTAGTGCAACAAGGTGCATTCAAGAGTTTCGATGCAAAGTGCGAAATAATGCGCAACATTCGCCACCGAAATCTTGTCAAAATAATCAGCAGTTGTTCTAACCTTGATTTCAAAGCCTTGGTGCTACAATATATGCCTAACGGGAACCTTGACAGGTGGTTGTACACTCACAACTATTGCTTGGATATTGTCCAAAGGTTGTGCATTTATGATAGATGTTGCATCTGCAGTAGAGTATCTCCATCACAGTTGTTCAACCCCCGTGGTGCATTGTGACTTGAAGCCAAGCAACATTATGTTAGATGAAGACATGGTTGCACACGTAAGTGATTTCGGCATAGCGAAGCTCTTGATGGAGAACAAGTCAATGGCACAAACAAAGACATTAGGCACCATTGGGTATGTGGCACCAGGTATGTTCCCTCTACAATAAAGAAATTAAGATGTAAACATATAATATGCAACATAAATTTTTTGTTCTTCCTTTTTCTTTTTGATTCGTTTGGCATACAAGTTTGTGGTAAATTAACTGATACGGGACTTCTGTGCATTTTTCATTTTTTCTCCATCTAGAAATAAATTTTATATATCAATTGGTAGCTATTAATAGTGAGAAAAGGAATAACATACCCAAAAAAAAAAAAAAAAAGGATAATGAAGAAATATGAATGTAAGTTTTTTTCCTCACCCCTACTAAATCTCACCCCTAATTGTTACTTTCTAATAAAAATTTGTTATTACAAATGTCAGAGTATGGTTCGGCTGATATAGTATCTGCAATGGCGGATGTTTACAGTTATGGAATTCTGTTGATGGAAACATTTACAAGAAAGAAGCCCACAGATGATCTATTTCAGGGAGAACTGAGTTTGAAGCATTGAATATGCGAGTCTTACCCTAGTGAAATACTGGAGGTTGTAGATGCTAATTTACTAAGAGAAAAGGAAGAAGAATGTTTTGCTGCTATAAAGAATTGTTTGACATCCCTCTTGGGATTAGCTCTAGAATGCACCGCAGACATACCCGAGGAGAGGGTTAGCATGAATAATGTCTTAGCCAGGCTCAAGAAGATCAAAATCACGTTTCATGAGAACATAACGAGACGAGGCCTTGAATGAAGCCTCTGATCTAGCTAAGTTTCAGAACCAAGTACTCAGTTAGAGAAGAAATAAGCCTTTTGCATACTTTATCAGAGGCATTCTTATTCACTTGTTTGAGATATTCCTCAGAAGTATCAGAGGCATTCTTATTCACTTGTTTTGGATATCTGTATGACATGTGACTCACAAGAGCTATTATTTGTGGGCTTTATCTTTCATTTAGTTGAATGTTTGTCACTTTTTAAAATGATATTGTAAGTTTTTTTTTTTTAGTTGGATACTTGCAATATAGTCCATTTTCATTCAGATCAGAATTGTGTAAAAGAATTTGAGCTATATTTCAGAGCATTGAATCGGCCCTTGGAATTGAATTGGGTGAAAATTTAGCCTGAAGGCACCGATTCTGTACTCTCAAACGCAACATGAGTGAATTCTGTATTGTTGCAATTGAACTGGTTAAAAAAATTAAAAATCAACAGGTGTAACAACATTTCAACTCTAAGGTTCTACATACATACACAAATTTAAATAAAATTGATTTTACATGCTTTATGTTTAGCCCAGTAGATCCAAAACACAAAGAGGAAAATGAAAATCGTTGTTCTTATTGGCAAGTCATAGCAAAAGAGGAAAATAAATGGAAACTACTTTTCAGTGATGAAAGCACATTCTTGCTAGTGACGGTCATACCTGCATGTCTCAAGCCAAATGCTGTCAACAATACGATGCTCAGACTTGCAGAGACCACCATATAGAACCCCAAATCCATTTCCTCATCTCTGCTCCGATAAGCCTTCAATACTGCAGGCCACGAGATTTTACATGACATGCATATATATATATATATATAGCTTGGAGAATTATAACCAATTGTTACCTAATTTGAGTTAAGGGAATGCTCGAAAGCCAATTGCTGCCTAATTTATCAATGAGTTAAGGGAATGTCGGATTGGGTGATTGACATGATGACCTTTTACAATAGCAATTAATAAATAATAGATAAAAGAATTGAGAGAAAACAAAACTTATCTTGTCATCTATGAACTTGTATAACCCTGGAAACGTGCCATGGCTCCGTCACACAACACAAGGATCATCAGGCAAGATGGGAATGCCTTTCCACCAGGACTCGACTCATTGATGTACTCAAGGATAACCACATAAGAAACGAATCACTGTTGTTAGAGAGGATCTTAAAAATTTTGTAATTTTTATAAAAAAAATTTGAGGATTTTACAAAAATTGAGGGATTTTTATAAAAATAAAAAATTAGAGACTGAAATTCTAAAACGCCCTTAAGGGTATTTTGGAAATTTTATTTTTTAAAAAAATGAATAACAGTTGCAATTTGCTACAAATTTTTAAACTATAGGGATTTATATTCACATATTAAATATAGTAACGGGCTGTTTTTTTGCACATTTTATTATACATAGCAGGGTTTTTCTTTTTTCTTTTTTTGCACTTTACCCTTAAAAAGATTCTATATTTGTACATTGTGCTAGATTAATGAATAATAATAGATTTATAAATCTATTAACTAAAATATAGTAAAATTATATATAAATTCTTTGTTTTTTTTTTTTTTCAAAGGTTCAAGTAAACATCACGTCTCAACTAAACATCAGTCAATTCCAAAGGGTTGGCTCAAGTGGTAAGATCTTGGCGCTCATAACACATAGTACTATATATTTTTGCTCCCACTACTCGATCTCTTCAAAGGGGAGAAAATTTTAAACCATCTAGGTTAGATCATTTTATTATATATGAAATAAATCTATTTAAATATGATTTTTTTGATTAATTTTTATTATATATGCTTGCCTTAAAGACTAAGGTGCTGCTTGATAACTCAATTACATCTCTCAAATCTGATAACGTTAGACCTTAGTGCTAACAACCTTATGGGTGAAATACCATGGTCAATCTTCAACATGACTCAATTACAACTCCTTTTCCTCTCAGATATATAATCAGCTTTCAGGAAATCTTCCATCAAGTCAGTGGAATAATTCCTAACTCAATTTCAAATGCCTCCCATCTAGTTGATATCGATCCGTGCAATAACTTGTTCTAAAATATATTGTACGACCAATTGCCTCATTGATAATTGCTGTTGCTTTTCTGATTGGGTTGCTAAGATGCAAAAACAAAAGCAGGCTACTTCCAATCCAATGTGATTCACCACCTGGTGTAACACATAGAAGGATATCACACCAAGAGATTCTTTGTTCAACAAACTACTTGAGTGAAGACAATTTGATTGGTATGGGAGGCCTTGGTTCTGTATACAAAGGGGTATTCGCCGATGGGATGGTTGTTGCTGTTAAGGTTTTCAATTTAGTGCAACAAGGTGCATTCAAGAGTTTCAATGCAGAGTACGAAATAATGCGCAAAATTCACCACTGAAATCTTGTCAAAATAATCAGCAGTTGCTCTAACCTTGATTTCAAAGCCTTGGTGCTACAATATATGCCTAAAGGGAACCTGGACAGGTGGTTGTACTCTCACAACTATTGCTTGGATATTGTCCAAAGGTTGTGCATTATGATAGATGTTGCTTCTGCAGTAGAGTATCTCCATCACAGTTGTTCAACCCCAGTGGTGCATTGTGACTTGAAGCCAAGCAACATTCTATTAGATGAAGACATGGTTGCACATGTTGGTGACTTTGGGATAGCAAAGCTCTTGATGGAGAACAAGTCAATGGCAAAAACAAAGACATTAGGCAACATTGGGTATATGGCACCAGGTATGTTCCTTCTACAATAAATATATTGTTACTATGATTCGATGAGTACCAATGGGACATTTTTACTCCATATCAATGTAATGGAAAATAGAAAAGTACAGAAATAATATGCAACATAAATCTTTGTTCTTCCTTTTCTTTTTGATTTGGTCTTCGTATATCGTAAATTAACTGACATGGGATGTAGGTACATTTTTTTTTTTCATTTTCTCTCCCTCTAGAAATACATTCTATATCAATTGGTATGCTATTAATTTTTTTTAGTGAGAAAAGGAATGGGAAGAAGCATAAAGGTTAGTAAGTGGAATTTAATATTTATTGTTTATTAAAATTCACTTATAATACTAATGTTACAGAGTATGGTTCGGCTGGGATAGTATCTCCTATGGCGGATGTTTACAGTTATGGAATTTTGTTGATGGAAACATTTAGAAGGAAGAAGCCCACAGAGGATCTATTTCAAGGGGAACTGAGTTTGAAGCATTGGTTTTGTGAGTCTTTCCCTAATGAAATACTGGAGGTTGCAGATGCTAATTTACTAAGAGGAGAGGAAGAATATTTTGCTGCTACAAATAATTGTTTGTCATCCCTCTTAGGATTAGCTCTAGAATGCACCACAGACTTACCCGAGGAGAGGGTTCACATGAATTATGTCTTAGCCAGGCTCAAGAATATCAAAATCTCATTTCATGAGAACGTAACGAGGAATTCAATGAAGCCACTGATCTAGCTAAGTTTCAGAATAGTGTACTCAGTTGGAGAATAAATCTTCATGTTTTGTTGGAGATCTTTCACAAATAAGCCTTTTGCATACTTTATCACTATTCTTGGTGATTCCTCAGATGTATCAGAGGCCTTCCTAATATAGTTAGTGATATTTGTATGACATGTGACTCCACCAGTTATTATTTGTAGGCTTCTCTTCCTTTCAGTTGAATGTTTGTTACAGTACTTTTTAACAAGACACTCTGTGTCACGACCCGAACCCTAGAGTCCGAATCGCGAACTGGGTCCTTACCCGAACCCGAGGTCGTCTAAGGGCACTATGGTCAATTCCAAGATCAATACATGATATACATGCCACCCCAACGCTTATACGAAAAAAAATGAGATCACAACTACAAAAGATGTCAAAATAGTCTACTAACCCATCTAAACTTGTGAAGGAGTGTCGTCCGCCACTTCCTTCCCCTGACCTGAAAAAAAATAATTAATATAATGGGGTGAGCACAGCCGCTTAGTAGGAAGTATCTAAGACACCACACAAGCATAGGGTAAAAGTAAATGGGATCATGTCAATCGAGGGAAAAACACAACGACGACAACAATATCATCAACAATTACAAAACAGGTCATCCTACCATATGTATACAATGCATGCCAATGTAATGCAATGACATGCCAATGTCGCTTCCCATTTCCGAAACATTTCCGTTTCAATACTCCAAACCGTTAATGCAACCCGACCCATAGCACCTCTATGGCGCCACGAGGGAAGAATTGGCTAGCTATCCCCGACCACATGGCACCTCCATGGCGTCGTTCTAGGCTTAGGTAGCTCAACCATGCTAGGGTCTCTCCCTAGTTCCATCTAGATCACATTAACGCCACGGACCACTAGGCACCTCCTATGTGTCCGGGTTTTCGTAAACCTTTTTAAAACATTTTTCCCCAAAATAATTTCCATTTGCTTTTCAAAACATTTTCCCCTTTTCTTTCCCAATGAAATGCATGAATGCTTCGTGCTTCCCAAATTACCATAATCTCATACAATTCAACCTTAGCAATATTACATGCCAATTAAGAAAAAAATTCTCACAAAATTATAGCATGCTTATTATTCACAATTTTCAGCAATTAATCACCTAGGACAAGAACAAAATTATAGCATTCTTCTCATCTCAAATCAACAAATCACATGGAAATAAATTCATATATATAACATCATAATAATATTTATACATCAAATATAGGGGAATGAATCACAAAAATCAAAGAGTGTATGGATTAGAGCACCCTTACCTCAAATTCAAGAAAACCCCCAAAACTTAGCCCAATCCCGAAATCCAAATGGTGGCCAAACGGAACTCTGCTCCAATCAAAACGTAGATCTCGACGCGCTTGTCAACTTTGCCTTAAGTGGTAAGGTCAAAATCTTTATGGTTAAGGAGAGATCAAAGCTTGAATTTGTAACAAAAAGAAAAAGAAAAATAGAACCAAGAGGGAGAGAAAAATTGTAGCAGAGAGAGAAAGAGAAAGTAATGGTCTGCAATTGATCACAAGGCCATTTGTAATGGTTCATTAAAATGGAGGGTCCCGCAGCATAAAAAAATATCTTTTAACTTTAATTTAATAACTTTTATATATACTACATAATTCCACCACACAATTATAATTATAACCATGTATATAAGCATCAATTAATAATGCATGAAATGCAATGGATCCGTAACATAACCCCCGTACACAAAAACTCCGGTAGCGGTTCCCACCTGGAACCTCTCGGTCAGAAAAATGAAAAAATGCTGAAATAACAACCAATGCATTACCAAGAGTCCTGAACTAAAGGAAATATCCCAAACAATACTCTGACACATCTGGCACACCCCACAGTGTCCGACACACAAAACGAGAAAAGACATAAATACCCTCGAAAAATCAAAAAATTCTAAAAAATGAAAAATGATAAAAATTGGAAACATTACACTCTGTCAGATTATTATTATTATTATTTTAAATTCTCCAAGATGTAGATGGCACTCCAAATTCTCCAATTTAACAACATATAAAATACAATATTATTGGACTATAAAAGCTATTGTGGACTTGTTGTACCCTTTTTTATCCCCTATCAAAGATGGATATCAGTAACAAAAAAATTAAGTTTTTACATCTCAATTTGTAAACTGAATGATGTGCACTGAGAGAGCTGTAACAATTTTTCAATGACAAGAACTAATATAGCCATTGTAATTTTATCTTTGAAAAACTGGATGGATAGAGAGTAGATGAAATAAGCTCATCTTATTACAGTTTCTTGAATCTGCTTAGATTAGTATAAGATTTTCAAAGAAGTGTGAACTTTTGGTAGTAATATGTTCATTTTATTAGATATGACCACCACTGCTTCTAGTCTTTCGGTTCAGACTCTGTTATTTTATCTAATTGTGTTTGAGAAATAGATTGGGGAAATTAGGCTTATGCCTTTGGTTAATTATTTGAATTTTTGTGCTTGAACTTTGCAGTGTTTTTGGTTATGTCCTCATCTTCATCAGTTTCAACTGCTACTGCTGCTGACTCCTAACCTCTTCGCATACATATGTATATAATTTACATAGAAACACACACATATGTATATAATTTACATTAAACATAGAAACGTAGGATTTAAATGTTTCAGATAGAAAAGCAACTTATGGAAAGTGAATTTTGTTACATTGTTTCAACATTTAGCTTCTTATTACTCCTCATTCTAGATTGGAGAATTTACACATGTTTCTTATTGTTGTTTACCATGAGAGATAAAGAGAACAGAGAGAACAGAGAGAACAGATCTGTATATGTTTCACCTACACGCACCAAATAAGCCTATATAGGCTTATATAAGGGATACAAGTCTCCTTAATAACACAAGGGCCTACTAATATAATGTAATTACATAATGGCCCAACATATATATATATATAACATTCTAACACTCCCCCTCAAGCTGGAGAATATATATCAAATAATCCAAGCTTGGAACAGATAGTTCTTAACCGGTTATGACCCAATGCTTTGGTAAACATATCAGCTAATTGATCTTCAGACTTCACGAATGGAGTAGAGATGCTCCCAAGCAATATCTTTTCTCGAATGAAGTGACAATCAACTTCAATATGTTTGGTCCTCTCATGAAACACAGGATTTGAGGCAATGTGAACTGCTGCTTGATTATCACAAAACAATGGAGTAGGAACTTCAACTGTCAACCCAAGTTCTTTTAGAAAATGTTGTATCCAGGTCAACTCACTAGTAGTATGAGCCATTGCCCTATACTCAGCTTCAGCACTAGATCGAGCTACCACCGTTTGCTTTTTACTTCGCCATGTAACAAGATTGCCTCCTACAAATGTGCAGTAGCCTGTAGTAGATCTCCTATCTGAAGGAGAACCAGCCCAATCGGCATCTGTAAAACCTTCCACCCTGAGATGACCATTTGATTTATATAGTAACCCAACACCTGGAGCTTGCTTGAGATATCGGATAATCCGAAGAACAGCAATCCAATGTGGCATTCTAGGAGCTCCCATAAACTGACTTACAACACTAACTGCATATGAAATATCAGGTCGAGTGATAGTGAGATAAATTAATTTCCCAACTAGACGACGAAATCTGCCCGGATCATTAAATAGATCACCCTCATCAGACACAAGTTTTGTATTCGAATCCATACGAGCATCAACCGGGCGACCACCCAACATACCTGTTTCTTCTAATAAATCCAACACATATTTTCGTTGTGATAAACTTATACCCTTCTTTGATCTAGCAACTTCAATACCCAAGAAATACCTAAGTTTACCCAAGTCTTTAGTGTGGAATCGATATTGCAGAAACAACTTCAACTTAGCAATGCCTTCAGAATCATCACCTGTGATCACAATATCATCTACATATACAACAAGAAAGATGAAGCCAGCTTTAGTGCGCTAGTGAAATACCGAATGGTCAGTCTGACATCTGTTAAGACCAAATTTGAATGCTGCCTCAGAGAATTTTCCAAACCAAGCCCGTGGAGATTGTTTCAATCCATATAGGGCCTTTTTAAGGCGACAAACAATGTGAAGAGACTCCCCCTGAGCAACAAACCCAGGTGGTTGCTCCATATAAACCTCTTCGACTAAGTCACCATGCAAAAAAGCATTTTTAACATCTAACTGAAACAGAGGCCAATGTCTATTAGCAGCAAGAGAAATCAAAACACGAATAGAAGAAATCTTAGCAACAGGGGCAAACGTCTCATCATAGTCAATACCATAAGTCTGGGTATAACCTTTGGCAACAAGACGAGCTTTTAACCGCTCAACGGAACCATCTGGAAGATACTTCACGGTGTAGACCCAGCGACAACCAACTGGTTTGACACCTGGAGATAAAGGAACAAGATTCCACGTGTCATTCTGATGCAAAGCATCAATTTCATCTTGCATGGCTTTCCTCCAGCCCGAATCAGACAAAGCATCCTGCACAGTCTTAGGAACAAATGTAGTAGACAATTGAGAGGAAAAACATGAGAAAGATGGCGATAAGGAATTATAAGAGACATACTGAGCAATGGGATGTTTAGTAACACAGGAGCGAGGAGCCTTACGTAGTGCAATAGGCAAGGATTCAGACACAGTGGAAGGTGTTGGATCCAAAGACTCTGAAGACGACGGAGGAGGCACGACAGCAGATGGCTTTGGTCGTCGAGTGTACACCTGTAACGGGGCAGGCAAAGGAGATCTAGGCTGAAGAGAAAGTGAGGGAAGTGGAACCGCAGGAAGAAGCGACTCAGAAGTAATATCAAGAATTGAATCACTATCTGAAAAATATGGGACGGACTCACAAAAGGTCACATCCATGCTAATAAAGTACCGTTGAGAAACAGGACTATAACAACGATAACCTTTATGAGAACGAGAGTATCCAAGAAATACACACTTTGTGGCACGTGGGTCAAGTTTATCAAAACCAGGACCAAGATTGTGGACATAACAGACACAGCCAAAAACTCGAGGAGTAAGAGAAAACAAAGGAGAATCAGGAAATAAAATAGAATGTGGAGATTTGCCATGTAATACAGATGACGGCATACGGCTAATAAGATGACAGGCAGTAAGAACAGCATCACCCCAAAACCGTTTAGGCATGCGCATATGAAACAAAAGAGCACGGGTTACTTCTAAGAGGTGTCGATTCTTACGTTCTGCAACTCCATTTTGTTGAGGAGTATAAACACATGAATTTTGATGAATAATTCCTTTATCACTAAGATAGGTATCAAAAGGGGTTGCAGAATATTCCTTAGCATTATCGGAACGTAAAATACGAATGGGACAGCCAAACTGAGTTTTGATTTCTTTTCGAAATTTTTGAAAAATTAAAAATAATTCAGAACGATCTTTCATTAAAAACAACCAAGTCAGGCGAGAATAATCATCCACAAATGTCACAAAATAATGAAATTTATTGATTGAAGAATGCTTTATTGGACCCCATACATCTGAATGAACCAAATGAAAAGGACTAGAGACACGATTATTAACCCTAGACTTGAAAGACACACGATGGTGCTTACTAAGTTGACAAACCTCACATGACAAGAATTTCAAATTACTAAGACTAGGAACTTGACGCTGCAAAACTTGAAGTGACGGGTGTCCAAGACGACAGTGCCACTGGAATGGAGACAGAGAAGACTGAAGAGCCACAGGATAAGGTACCACATCAAAGTAAAATAAGCCACCAGCTTCATTCCCCGTACCAATCGTCTTCTTCGTCTTGAGATCCTGAAACACACAAAAAGTAGGATAAAATGTAACAGAGCACTGAAGAGATTTAGTAAGCTTACTGACAGACATTAAATTAAAGGGAAACTGAGGAACATATAAAACAGATGAGAGAGACAATGAATCACTAAGTTGAGTTGTCCCCAAACCTGAAACCTTAGCGGAGGAACCGTTAGCAAGGGTAACTCTTTGAGAAGGAGGTACAGAATTAAAATCAGATAGAAGAGAAGAACATCCAGTCATATGATCGGATGCTCCAGTGTCTATGATCCAAGGACTGCGAGTGGAAGACAATAGACATGTGGGTGCAGTACCTGACTGGGCAAAGATAGCCGTGGAAGATGAATTAGATGCTTGCTTATAAGACAAAAACTGAGTATACTCATCACGTGAGACAGGGACCGTATCTGATTCAACTACATTATGAGATCCAGAAGCAACATCATTCGGAGAGGAGGAAACTTGATTTGCATAACTAGATGGTTTTCCATGAAGGTCCCAACAAAAATTCACAGTATGATTAGAAAGACCACAATGAGTACATTTTCGTGATTCCCTGCCACGGCCACGTCCTCCCCGTGAATCACGACCGCCACGTGTGGAGCGTCCCCCACGACCTCCACGGAAAACAGTATTTTCACCCTTTGAAACAATCAATGCTGAACGTTCACCACTCTGCCCAGTATTCAAAGTGGAGGTATCACTGACAAGTGTAGCGCGTTGAAGTCTAGAAAACACATCAGCAAGAGATGGAAGTGTGGGACTGCCCATAATCTGTGAACGAAAAGACTCATAAACTGAGGACAAACCAGTAAGAAAACGAACAACATTAAAGTCCTCACGTTGTTGTTGCATACTGTGAACATCAGCAGTAATGGGCTGATACATATTCAGCTCCTCACAAATGCCCATAACTTTGGAATAATACTCTTCTATACTGTGACTACCTTGTTCAAGATGAAAATACTGCTTACAAAACTCATAAACACGAGTGATATTACCTGTCCCAGAATACAGTTGCTGCAATCTGTCCCATATCTCCTTTGCAGTATCTAAATAAAGTAAAGTTGTACTAATTTGGGGTTCAATACTGTTTATCATCACAGAAATGATCTGAGCATCTTCCTTTTCCCATGCATCAAAAGAAACATCAGTTTCCTTGAGTTTCTCTTTAGTCAGATGATTACCAAGGCCTCTACCTTTGAGAAAAATTTTAACTGATTTAGCCCACAGTATATAGTTCTTCCCATTGAGTTTAACAGAAGTCATGGAAGAATGAAGACCAGAAGTGGGAGAAAACAAATCTGAAGTGGAGGCCATGTCTTACCCAGCAAAACAGAGAAGAAAATATGAAGCAGAATTAGTATTCGGGCCGAACCTGGGAAAACGGGTCGGATCCGAGAACAAGTCGGATCTAGGCAAACAGGTCGGATCTGTACGAGCAGGTCGGATCCGGATAACGGGTCGGATCTGGACAAACGGATCGGATCTGGTCAAACGGGCCGAATCTGGGCTATCCCGGGCTTACGAAACCAGGGTTGGAATAACTATCCCAGGTTTAGTAAACCAGGGTTGGAATAGCCTCACTCCTGCAGCCAAACACCACCCTTCTCCTTCACAATCAGCGCCGGCGAGAACCAGAACGCTGCCACCGACAAGAAATTTCAGCACCCGAGATTCGCAATGGAAAAACAAGGCTAGTACACACCCTAGCCCTTGCAGCGGTGACGACAACCCAACAACAACAAAAAAAAACAGCGATCTAACA